ATGACCTGGCAGAGGAGTATGAAGGAGATCACGAAATGCTTGGGTGCTGTCGGTGCTACTCGCCTTCCAGGATGGGGACCGCGTGATCCTCATTGTGCCTGGTTGGAGACACTACAAGATATGGCTGCCAACCGATGTCAGTGGCGTTCTTGTTGTCAGTTTCTGTCCAGATTGCCTGAGTGAATGTCTGGAGGTGTAGGCACCTCGGAATGATTGTGTTAAGCTAGCACTAAGTCCCTCCCCCATCCACCTTTAGTCTTTTCTTTACAATAAGGCTTTCAAATAAGTCATGGCTGTACGCCATTGAAGCATCGGTGTTGAACACTGATGTCATGCTGTCGTTGATGATGATGATTTGCCCCTAAAATTAAGCACACAGCATTTAGACCATTTGTCGTTGATGATGATGATTTGCCCCTAAAATTAAGCACACAGCATTTCAGACCATTTGAGAGAACAGTGTAATTATTCACTCACCATATATGGTCGACAAAACCCCGGCTGATTTTTAATGAATCGAAACACTACCTTGTTCTATGTTGGAGGCAACAGTCAAAGACTTCTATAGACCGATGCAAATAGGCCACATCAAGCGTCTGTGAAAACTACCTATACTTACACTTGAAAGAGCTGCTTATGTTACTGCTACGTGTCGGACTAGAATGGACAGATTCAGAGACTCGATGCATGCGGAAAACACATCACGGGAATTAGATAAGAACGCTTGCAGGGGGTTAAGGTATGACCTATTTTCACATCACTTTTACATGCGCCGCCTAGTAGGTAATGGGGCTTTCAAAGGAATAATACGTGCTCTAGCTAAATTAGGGTGCTGTGAACGCTTTCTGAGAGGTGGTGGAAAAGCATATCTCAATAAAACCATACCGGCACATTAGATAGGCGGCACTCAGTACGTACGGGAAAAGAATCGCTATCACCATAGCTAGTTCGTACGCCAGGTATTGACTTTTCAGATATAGTTGGGTTGTCTAAAGTGAGGGCCGAATCATTGGTTGGTTGTCTCTGGATAAGTGGCGAACGATTCCACCATTGAAACCGCTTGAAAACAACATTAGAGCCGGGGCCTGGTGAGGAACGAGGGATGGGTTTGGGCAGGATATCACAGATTGCGCCGCAGCCAGCCGCTGGGCAAAATGTCAGTGCACTATTCGTTTGAACCTCTGGAAAACGAAGTGAATGTACTAGAAGGAATAATTTCCCCAACTCACCTCTGTCCAGGCGACGATTGAGATATTGGTCATACAATGTTATCGTTGGTAGGAGGTCTTTAATCTAGAATGAAGTTTCCTAGTGAGAGGTAGACAGCCACTTACTTCAGATTCTGTGAGTAAACCCTTCGCATCGCATCGATAGCTTGGACAGGAGAAGTCCGCATCTAACGAATCACCAAGTATAGTGGTGAGGTAACGCACCAAACACTATACAGATTGAAAAAACAGTGAACGTGATAAAGGTATAACACAGATTAAAAACAAGATGCTAATGTTAAGGTTAACAAAGCGGATAGATAAAACAGAAGATCACGTATCGGTGGCTGCCATTCATTGGCTGCACAGCGCATGTCTGAAAACATTTGTTGGAGACATCACATAACGAGATCAAGACACATGGTTGCGCACTTGCAACAAAAATACAAAAATACAAAACGATGGTCCTTATACCTCAGAACATACTCAGAAGACCAACACGGTGTAGCTATACAAGCAATCCGGAGTTCATAAGACTCCGTATGAAACTGCAAAGATAAACATAGGTGCGAGAGAAAAATAAAAAACCAAAACTTACTGGTCTGCAAAATGAACAACCACACTGCGACAGTTTCACCACCAGATCGGCTGCAGTAGGCTCCAAACATATGGGGCAACTCCAGTCTCTTCCATCCATATTCATGCGAATTGGGCCCATAAAGGGACACACCAACCGAAAGTGACGTCCCCTCCAGATGAGGTGCCCCACAACCGGCTGGAAGTGGAAAAAACGAGATGACCAGTGAAAAACAACTGACCTATCGCTTTTAATTCCGATTCAAAAAAATTCTGTACCCAGATCGCTAGATCCCGGGAAAACACTGACAGCGGAGGAAATGAGGATGATTAGGTATGGGTGGTTTTGGACGAGGAGTTCACCCAAACATGGATCAACCAAATTGAGAGTTGCGGTTTGTTGGACCTAGTTGCATCCAGAGGTTTTAGAAACAACAACGACCCAAAGAGAGAAGCGTCACGGCTCGGTTAGTAGGCATACAGTCCGAAATCATTGTTTGGAGTTCGGAACTGCGTGCATGAAATCGGTACACCTAAACTAAAGCACGGTTGGAGGTATAATGCGCTGAGGCAAGCAGTTATGTACCAAATGATAATCGATAACAGCAACAGAATCGTCAGTACAGTTAACCCAATGACTAAGGCAATTCGATGCTACGAACTTAGGATTACACTATACTTACGCAATGCTCCAAATGAACACTTCCTTCTGTTCTTCAAGTAGACAAAATACCTCAACCTGTAAACTCCGTGCTCTACCGACGAGCTAACATTGCGTGACCATGTAATGTGAACAGTGAACATTAATAAATTTGACTGACAGGTTGTCGAAGGTTGTACAGCAGGCACTTCAATCGCGGAAAACATTCAGCACCATCAACTGCGATGGATGGGCCATGTGCTGCACATGCCGAAACACCACCTACCGGGTCGAGTGTTGTTCTCCGTGCCTCCTTCGGAATTGCGCAAGTCGCGAGGTGGACAACGCGTGACTTGACAGAAGGGTGCGAAAGAGAACACGAAGAATTTGGATGTTGTCGGTGTTGTAGGCCTTCCGTGATGGGGTCCCCCCCCTGCGCTTGGCTGGGGACATTGAAAGAAATGGCGACTGACCGATGTCTGTGGTTTCTGTGCTGTCAGTTTTTTTCCAGATTGTCTGCTTGAGCCCTTGGAGGTGTAGGCACCTCAGACGGCTTGATATAGACCAGCACTAGTTCCCCCACCACACTCATCCTTCTCTTCCTTCTAGTTTGAGGCTTAAATATAATTAGATGAACTGTATGGCTGCGTGTCAGTGAATCAACACTGACGTTGCCCAGACTGAAGGGGATTTGGTTGAGATACTTCGCTTTGCGCCTTTGACCTAAAGGTCTGACTCACAAGACAGCGGGAAGATGTGAGGTTTTCGTCAAAAAGCCTCGCCCCGGTTTCTACCTCAAAAGTGCTAACTGCGAGACAGCATTTGTCAGGGTATTTTTGAGGGACCTGTTCCGGATTCAATGGCTCGATAATCTGGCTTCAGGTCGAAGAGGGTAGGGCATAGATATCAGGTTCTTGAAGCTACCACGCATGGCAGCTGCATCGGGCTCATTTCAACGTGTATCTGTTTTCCAACAGCATTGGTTAACTTGTCGGCAGTCACAATCAACCGTTAGACGTACATAATTTGAGGTTTTGGGGAAAACCATTCGGAATGGGAAGGGCAGCAACGATGCTGCTATACATAATGGAATGCTGGTTGCCTGGAGAAGCACCTTACGGTTCCTACACTCCTATTACAGCAAACAGCATGATTTATCGCAATATGGAAACCTGTACCTGTCTGCGTGCTACCCGTTGGCCTTTCTAATAAGATTAACCCATAAGAAAGTGAATTTCAGCCAATGTAGCCAAGGTCATTACAGAACTGGAGTTCAACTACTATGGGTAGCAGCTTTAGGATGGGATCGAGGTCGAATAAGCAATCGTGACCTGGTGCGGTCTTTCTATCGTCCCACTCTTTAGGCCCTAATGCATTAGGTGGCAGGATCCTTAGCAGCATTTCTTGGTCGAGAAAAATGGGGCCTTTCTGGATCCTCTATTTGTTCCTCTCTTTGACGAAAGATTCCAGGGTATTCAGTACCACCATATTCTTTCTCCCTTAAGGCAAAAATCGCTCAGCAGTAGCACCCTTTCGGTGCCTAACTGCAATGCCACCGGAAGGTCGCACGATGGCTGGGATTTACTGACCGGAGGGTCCGTGGTTCGAACCCGACCTCTGCATCTCGACTTCCCCTGTCTAGGCTTGGGCAACCTGGCAGTATCCCAGCCCTCGTGCTTCTTTCGGGTAGCGTGACAGCTAGGCACTGGAAGGGTATTGCAGCTGAACCACTTTAAAGCCATACCAGCAGGCAACGAGTACGACAGCGCACGCAAATCCCCAAATAGTGGAGTCTAAGGAAAGACCGAGAGCTCTGGTGGATATCGAAAGCTCGGGAGATGGAGAAGGCTTTTGCTACGGGAAAAAGCCGTACCCTTTACCAACTGATACGATCGACTGGCCCTAGGAAAGCAACAGTCAGCGAAACGATAAGTGAAAAAGATGGCTCATTAATTTACTCACAGAAACGTCGACTGGAGAGATGGGCC